TAACCAGATAATCAGTGGTATTCATAATGTTATGGCAGATTAGTGTGCATGGTGTGTTATACAAACGCGTGTCTGTGTGATGTTATTGAACCTCAGGCCCACCTGATGTGGAGCAGCCTTGTGATCCCAGCCTCCAGGCCTGGAGTCCTGAGCTCAGCCTTTATGACACTAATGTGACCTCACCATGTCCCGACACGGAGGGCTGCACCCTCACGCTAAGGTTCCTCCACCCTGTCATTCCACACGTGCTTACACTCTGGGTCACCTACATCTCTTCAAGTAAGTGTCACTCCATGACAACTTTATACCGTCAGATTAGTGTGTCAGATAGCAATACTGTAAATACTGTGGGTTCTCTAAAAAATGCTGGCAGAAAGGAAACAAGGTGGGACATCATCCCCCAGACCTTCAGCTGCTGAGGAGAAACACAGATCATCTTAGAATAGACTAAACAAAAATTTTAGTATCTCACTTAAATGTCTAATCAGTTGCAGTTCTGTGTGCATAAAAATGTGCCTCAATGTGATTTTATGTTGTATTTAATATTATATTTAATGAATGCAGCATGAGAGATGTGATACATAGTCAGCAGGACTGTAAGAAAACAGTATGCAGTTGGAAAACGCTAAAAACAAGTTGTTTGCGGTGAACTGCAGTGAGACTGGGTGGATAAATAATGTGTGGTGAGGCTTACTAAGCAATGCATATACAACAGTGACTAAAAAAAGGTTGCAAAATTGATGTAAACGGTGCCCCAAACTCCTGAAATTTAAAGTTGTGCAGTTGTAGACAGAGCTGAACAGGTTTGTGGAGCCAGTTTTTAACTGGTTATGAGACAGCCTCAATGTAATACTGATGCCTCTAACCTACAACAAACAAAGTCCATCAGTGAGAAGATTGGTTACTTCTATATGATTTTTCTTAATGCCTGCCACTGAGTCGGTTTTGGTTGGATTCCCCAGATCTCCTAAAGTTCTATGTTATGTACACAGTCCTGAACCTTTAACTTATTTTTCAGCTAACTAGAATTATTTAAACCCAACTCCTTATTGTACTGATAGCTGACATATCTGTCTGTATTTCCCTGTTGCAGACAACCCAGCCATAGCCAACATAGAGCTGATAGCAGATACAGGGAAAAGCATTAACCTCGGACCCCAGCACGTCTTCTGCGACATGCCCCTCACCTTGCGCCTCGACACCCACAAAGCTGCCGTTGCCGCCATTAAACTCTGCACCTTCGATGAGAAGATGGAGATCGATGCTGCCATGTTGTCCTCGGGCCCTGGCAGCTCTCTGTGCTCCAGCTGCCAACCTCTGCTGTACAGGATTCAGCGGCAGCCACCCTTCACCAGCAAAATGCCTTCACCTCAGACCCAGCAGACATTCACTGACAGGTAGATTATTTATTTGCATGTTACTTCAAGTTTTAGTTAAGGCTGCCTTACAGTCATGTTTTGTAATGTTATTTTGCAATTAAGGCCATTTAAGGTCACTCCACACACTGTAACAGGGACCCCAGCTGGAGAATAAACCCCAAATGTCAATTGGGTCAACAACTTTGCAAGTGGCATTAGTGTTACATCAACCTGGAAGGTGTTTATAGAGACATTTTTAAATCAGGCAAGAATCTGAGGAGGTCAGCACAAAGCATAATGGGAATTGACAGGTGTGATGTTTTTGTGTCCAAACCTCCATAAAATACCCAGGACTTCAGCTGAGGCAAGTTCCTGAGTTCGGTTTTCTCTCAGGTGCTGATTAATATTTACACCGGGGGCTGTGTACTACGAATGGCAGGTACACAACACATGTAGAGACCCACACACACACACATACACACACACACACACACAACCTTGTCAGACATGAGAAGCTCAGAGGAAAATAAGACTGATGGTAAAAAAGTTATTTAAGGCCAACGTCGAGTATGAGTTTCACAGCATACCTCAGATCGGCTGATCCACAGTTATCTGTCTCTCAAAAGTGTTTGGGTCTGGTTCTGTTTAGAACACAAATGTTTCCAACGTGGGGATGCCGAGCTGTGGCTACTGATCCAAATCTGTTTCAACAAGCATATACTCAATCAAAAGCATACTGAAGTTTCGCGGCTAAGTTGAATCTGTTAGTACAGTATCCTGTATATACTGTGGGGTGTCCAAATGATTACGGGAATCCAAATGTAAAGCCACAGGACAGTTTTTTTAATCTCACCAAAGAGCAGACCTCCCTAAAAATACCTTAAATCTCCCTACTCTCTCATGCTTTTCAGACACTGCTTTTACAGTGAGTACCGGCCAGGATATCACAGTTGTGTCACATCACCGAAGATCATTTGGGGCTGATTTCAAAAGTTGTGGCACAATTCCTGAGAAGCTGTTGCCATTTTACAGAGCAGGGCGGATGCTAGGTGGACACAGCTTCAAAAACAGTTTATTTTTCAGGGAACACGTCTCCTATGTTACACAAGCTGTGTCTAAGTGCAAAAAGATGTAAGAACCAGTGGGGATTGAGTTATGTGGGACTGTGGAGGGCAGAGAGGGGTTGATGTGAGGAGAAGAGTGTTTGAGAGCAATGAAGCTGGAAAAGAAGCGAGAGGGAGCAAGAGAGGGTGGGATAATGGAGAGAAGAGAAGATGAGAAGGAGAGGAGAGAGCGGGGAGACAAAAAAGGACAAGAGATAAGCATACAGAGAGGGACACAAAAGAGAGTTGTGAGGACTAGAAATGAAACTTAAAGTGAAAGTTACTGTAGGGGAGGCAAGGAGAAGCAGGGGGTGAGGAGGGGTAAGACGGGACAGAGGGAGACAGCAGCACAGCAGAGATGAGGCAAAGTAAGCAGAGGCATTTTTTTTTTCTTTTTGAATATGCTCCAAATGTGAGCAGCAGAGGCCATAAACACCAGTGACTGCTTGGATCTGGTCCTTGGCTGTTTCCTCCTGCTGAACTTGCATAGTTAGCACAGGCTGACTGAGGAAGAGGAAGGAAGGATGAGTGAAGAGGACAAGAAGGACTGCTCAATTAATCAAAACAGTTCATATTAAAATGTTACTATCTTGATCTTGATATTACAGTTTGTTGTACACTGGAAGGCGAGGTGAAAGACGTGTGTCGAGGTCTGTTTCCCTTTACCTTAACATTAACCCGACCTAAGCCCCAACCCCAGCCGCGGAGGGGTGTAACGATACACTCAACTCACGATTTAATACAATTCACAATACTGGGTTTATGACAGTTTTGGAGACAACTATCGCCCACTTCATGCAGCATTTAGCAGGTGTGTGGAGGAGAGAAGGTATGCAGGATCTGAACTAGTCTCTCAAGCTTTAGTTTTGCATTTTTTAAACACTTTCCATCATTTTCATGTGGACAACCAAGTGCAACACCGCCAATGCAGAAAGACTGTCTCACAGTGTGTGCCATTATCCCCATTTGTAGATTCATTCTCACCCCTATCTCTGATGGCAGGCTCACCTTCAACAGTGGCTCTTTGGAATGACTTTGCCTTTAGATGGTTGCCACAAAGAAATCGATCAAAATAGCTTGTTTCAAGCATAGTCTGGCCTTCAATCATTATTTGTGTTCCCTTGTTGAATCTTGTTTTCCATGGTTTCTTAACAGTTTATTATTTAGATATGTAAGTAAGCAGTTAGCTCATTCTAAAAAGACAAAATGGCTATATGATTTTTGAGATAAAGCTTGTAGTTTAACAAGAAATTAGGCCTGTATGGAGGAAGTGTGGCAACAAGGCAAAAGGGAAAAGATGATCTAAACCTCACCATAATTATCATGAAGTAATGAGAGGGCAGAGAGAGAGAGAGAGCTGTGGCTAAAGGTTGGATGATACATACAAATATAGATACAGTACAGATAAATAGGGATGGGTGGAGTTTTTCAAATTCTTCATTTCCTTCTCTGATCTATAATTTATATAGGAAATTTGTTGAGTCTGGAGAAACTGGACAGACCTCAGATACTGTGATTTGTGTTAACTTTCGCGCCAGGCGGAAACAGAAGTAGCAGATCTGTGCTGGGAAAACAGGGAGGAGGCTCTTTTTATAGACACAAGTCCACCAAAACAGATCAATAGTCCGGACACTGGAGCCAAGGTATCATTACACACACTTCCTGCTGTGGGGCCTTAAGGTCATTGGATACTGCAAGGTTACAGATAGAAGCCACTGTGAGTGCAAGCTCCTCTTTTGTTGCTGCAATCCTACGAGCCATTGTTTGCAGAATCCATCAAGATTCATGCAGAATTGATTTGTTGGGGGGTATACTGCAAATACAATCCTTCCTATCTACATTGCACAAAGTGAACTGTGATATTTGCAAGAGAATTAGGTCATCGTGCACTACACTGGCACAACTAAGCACAATAACTCTTTCTTATTTTGTCAAGTATTGAATGGAGTCATTAGTATCGATCAACAAGGCTGTAAAGATTATATAATCAGTTTGTACCACACAGAGCAGTAAAAACCTTGCTTACTGCTCCACGGAAGAACATAACAAACTTTGGACTTCTATTTAATAATTTTATTATGCCAAAATAAATTTACAATTTAAGCAATGATAAAACTATTTTTCCTCTCCTCTCCTCTCCTCTCCTCTCCTCTCCAGCTCTGTAAAGCAGGGAGTCAAGTACCAGTACATGATCCAGGTGGAGGCAGACAGTCTCCTCAGCGATCTCTCCCCACCTCTCCTCTACACCCATGGGCAACCTTATTGTGGAGATGGCCTCATACAGGGGTCTGTGCACTTTTTGACATTGATGATGAAAATGCTGATTATTTACATATTGAAAATGTAGACGGCATGGGTAATGAAGGCGATGATGATGATGGTTCTCTCTCTGTAGGTCAGAAGAGTGTGACGACAGTAATCTGTTGGATGGTGATGGCTGCTCTAAGAAGTGCCACAAGGAGACGGGCTTCAACTGCAATGGTAAGTGAGTCCAATTCACTCCAGTGAGGAAAGAAACACATCTCTGGCCCATCTTGGGTTCACACACACACACACACGCAGTTTAGAACTAAAAGCATGTTGAGCAGTGGGGTTTCTTTCAAAACAATGGCAACACCATATAAACTTTTAGTGTAAAAGAGCAGTCACTAAATAGCCAGAAATCTCTCATTTGTGCATGCAGCAGTATTAAGAAAAAAAAATTAGAGCCAATGAAATTTAATTTACAAGACATAAAAGCTTCTGGCTTGAACTGATTCCACAAACCATTAATGTACCATCACCGCAACATAAGAGAAAACAGATGAGCTGAAGGGTGAAAAGTAAGTTTTTGGTTTGCTAAGTCAAAGTCATATCTGAAGCATCTTGACAGCAGAAAAACACTTTTCAGCAGTAAAGTACAATGTTCAATCTCAAAACGTGTCAGGTGTAACAGATAGGTGATAGACAGATGGGTAGGGCACTGAAAGGGATGACTCCATAGATTTATTTGTTCCTGCAGAAGTCAATATAACCCCCCTCTTTTTTTGCACCTCTACTCTCAATACAAAACGGCATTGTGACGTTTCATTGTTTTTCTTAAAACACATACAGATATAATAATTTCACATTACAGTATGTATGCATTACAGTATTACTAGCTGAGATATCTTTAAAATAGACAGGAAAAGGTCAGGTCAAGTGTGTAACATTTTAGAGGCTCTATAGGCAGAAATATAATATAATATTAATAGGTATGTTTTCATTAGTGTATAATCAAATCAATAATAAAAATAGGAATTGTTGTGTTTTCGTTTTTCTCTACAAAGTCATCTGCAACCGCTCATTCGGTACTGTGTATGTGCAACTTTCAACAGGGATGCAAAAAAGTTAGATGGCTCACTCTTCACCTACTTTCATCATCAGTTCACAATGAAACGTTTAATGAATGTTATTGATCAAGACTTCTGGATAAGCATATATATGTGACGTTAACGTAATGTTAGCAAAAGTAGCATGTTAGAAAGTTTTGTTGTTAACATTACCATAGCTAATACTGAGAAGTAAGGAATTTTTTAATATAACAAATAAAATAATGCATCATAACACATCGTTGTTTTCAGAACTGATTATGGAAGTAGATGGATGCACCACTCATGTATTATTAGAACTACATATCGGACCCACAGATGGGGCTTATTCAGTCCAATGAGAACTGTTTCTAGCTTCTGGGTTTACTTCTGAAGGGAATTTCGACCACTGAATATGCACAGTAGTGTTTCTCCTGCTGGCCTTGACCCACGTTGACTTTTAAAAAAAAACACTAAATAAACTTGCTGTATGGAAGAAGACTGAAACTAGAGATTGAGACGATAAACTCATTAGGAAACTGTTTACTGAGCTTGTAAATCAAGTGAGAATTCGGGTCATTTCTCCATAATACTGCATATAGTTTTTTATTGCAGCCAAGGGAGCTGTCACCTAGTGGTCATTACATAGAATGCAAGATTAAAACACTTCCGAGTTGGCCTCACTTCTTAGCCCTGGAAGCTTTGTCCATTATATATACTGTCAATGATATACTCCCAAAAGGACGCTTACACAGAAAGCTGTGGACACCATGGCCATGTAATAGTTCTGTTTATACGACTTTTTGGAGTGGGTTTGGAGGATGTGTTCCACACATGCGCAGTAGATCGACATTTACAGAAAGAGGTGCCCTTGTAGTGTAGTGACTGTTCCAACAAATTGGATGTATAGTAAGTATAATTCCTGTTATAGGAGGAATAGAAGAGGTGATGTGCAGCATTTCCACATTCATAAAAATAACAGTAAATGAAAATAATATAATGATAAAATACTCAACATAATCATTAAATAATGAATACAAATTAATAAAGTGCATTTTTAACTCTATTACACAAGCAGTCTGTTATTAAATAAGTTTCGGCCTTTCAAGATGTCAAGAAATTGATACAGGCCAGAGCATATTGATAAATGAAGTTTATTGAATGTTTATCAAAGATCATGTTGTGGTTTTGGATTGGACACAACAATCAGCTCACAATAACAGTTATGTTTTAGACATTGTTGCCATTTTTCATTTAATTTGATATGCTTTATCTAAAGTAAGTAATAAGTTTTTTATTATCAAATAATCACATCTGCAACAGTGGGCCAGCTCTCCCCATCCAGTGAGGGAGATCATAACCAGCTGTAAAAGCCTCTGCTTCTAACAGTTGTTGTACAATGACCCCATAGTTAAGTGATTGGAGGCCACCTTGTAGTTCAGACCGCCAGAATCGAGTCGTGCAGGGGGGATGGGGTGGGGGGTTGTCATTTTTTCTCGTCCTTTCTTGTTTTAGTTTTTTTTTAACTCAACAAGAACCTTAGAATTAGGAAAAAGCAACTGTGGTTAGGGTTTAGGCCAGGTTACCGTTTGGTGAGGTTCAGGCAAGAATGCACGAGTTGTTCTCAGAGTCAACAACCAAAGATTTATGGTAAGACGAGAAACATTAAGAAACAGTTCATTTATGGCTCAGTGAGTCATGTGGCTGCCAGAAAACAACTTGGTGGGTGTTCAAGATTTTATTACTGAAAAAAAAGATTCACCTGTTGAGGCTCTTTAATGTTTACACTCTCAGTTCTGTTATTCCGTTTTGGTTTGTGTTTCACTCCAATTTGTATCTAAATGAACATAAAGTGCCATGCGCAGTAGGGGTTGCTGGATAACTGCTGATACTGTCTGGGGGTCCCCTAAGTTTGAAATGATTGTCCACTTTTCCATCATGTGAACAGAATAACAGTTACTGCCATGTACTGATCTACAGACAAAAAGAGATTTCAATCCTTTTGATATGAGTCCCATATAGAGTTTTCACCCAGGAAACCAGGGCCAAACATTGCTCAGTTAACTCTGGGCCAGGTGGTTAAAAAAAAGCAGTAAAAAGTACCAAAAACATGCAACATAACATGGCAAAAGACAAACAAAGAAGCCACAAACAGTTCCCCCATCGTTTGTGATTCCACCACAGGACAACAATACTTTGTGTCTGCACCCTCGCCCAGCCTGAAGCATGCAGACAAGGCCACAACAGAAGCCTCACAACACAACATTAAAGGGAGTTCACCCAAAACACTCCATTGAAAGCAGAAGGCTGAAGACAACATGTGTTTTTTGAACTTGATATTAGGTAAACATTTTGAAAAAAAGTGCATTGTGGTCGAGCACAGCCAGACAGAAAGCACTGAGAATGTAGCCCTCATGCATGATTCTATTATGTCACATAGGTATAATTACCACCAACACACACTCAATACTGTGTCAGAGTGTGACACCTAAGCCTCATACACATTGCAGGCCTTTCCCGTCTAACACGTCTATGTGTCTCCATGTGTCTCTGTTTCTCATTGAAAGACTTGGGCTGGATGAGAGTAGGCATTAGCCACAATGACACGAGAAATCAGCTCTACTGTTGTGGTATGTGGTCTTTCTCCACAGACTTAAAATTCATCTTCTGTATAGTGGAATGTTTGCCCAAGCCCTCTGTCGCCAGAAGCTAAGTTGAATAAGTATGGCTTTTATGATATCCAACTTTTTGGTGATTTCATAAATATTTCATAATATCGCTAAGAAGATGTGACAGGTCAGTTGAGAACGAGACAGTAATGTTAGTAACTTCCTTTTTAGGCCATGTATTGTTTCCACCAGCAGCTGGATGGTACTTAATCATGTGTGGTGTAAGGGTTGTGTTACGAGAGCTTGTTACGGGGCTAAAATTTCCATCATCCAGTCAATTTATTTGTCAGGGGGAAACAAGCAGAAACAGATCCCTCCTCCTTTACCACCAGAGCTAGCCATGCCGTGACTGAAGCTATTACATCTCTTGTTTTACAATAAAAGACATCATGACTAGGAAGGAAAACAATTTGGCAAAAACAGGTTTTAACAAATTGCAACACTTAAAACCAATTATTCAGTTGTACTTCTTAGTCATAGACAGAATATTTGTTTGGGTTTTCTTGCCACATTTGCTTGACCCAGTTAACTCTAACTATGCCGAAGCGTCTTGCTCCTACTCTACTGTGTTAATGCAATTTCTCATAGCTCTGCAGCAACCACACCGACTGCTTTAATAGCCATCTCGTCAGACAAGCCATAGACAAGCTGCATTTGTTCTGTTCAAGTGCTGCTTTCAAGTTGTTTTTTATAGATTCCACTGATTTCTAATTTAATTTTTTAACTGCCTGATTAAATAAAGGTTAGATTGCACAATATGATTACAGCATGCAGACATGAAACAGAAAACAGATGGTCTTAATACTTAAGTCAACGATTGTCAAGTAGTCCTCTTTTGTGAGGCTTGATAAATACACAGACTTGGAATTGAAAAGACTTAATCATTTTCACAGGTGTTGTCAAAGCAGGGGTGGGGTGTTTGGTGAGTTCACTTGGTCTAGTTTTGCCAAATGAACTTGGGATGACAATATGCCATTGAATTGTCTAGGCCTAATTTGCCTTTTATCAGAAACATGTTTCCATCGACTAATTGAAGCCTATTGTGCAGCACTGACTCTCTGACACGGCTCTGTCTGTCTAACTTCTGCAGCTGTCCAGATGTTAATGAGGCCAAACTTCTGAAGTGTCTGATGTTTTCCATCCTTTTTATGAATAGCTGCTGCATTACAAGCTGTTGTTCAACTTGTGCTTCCCGCTCGTTTTGTGATTCGTTCGTTCTGCCTTAGCACATTATGTCAGTACCATTACTCTATTGCATGTATATTCACTGTGCATAGCTCTGGGGTAACTGTGTTACGGGAAGTATAATAGCCTATTTGTTGTCTATTCAAATAACATCAATTACATCCTTAATAAATAATTAAATAAATTCCTGTACATTTTGACCCAGAAATACTACAGGACCTGATGACCAAGGAGTACATTCCATTAACATTCATCAGATTTTACTCTAATCATTGGTGTGTTTTCTACTAGTATTTTTTTTAAAATCTTTTACCAAGCATCATTGAGCTTTTTTTCCATGGCACATCACTAGAGTCAGGCTGGGAAGCTTGCTGTTAGATAACTTCCACTAAATGCAACTAAATCCAG